GGGGGGGGGCTCACACTCAGTCTCCAGCACGCCTGTTCGCTGCTTACGTAAGCCATCGAGGGGCTTTCTGGGCTCCTTTTGTCCGTCGCGCTCAGGCGCGGGGCAGCTGTTCCGTCTTCTCCGCATTAAAGCGTAAAGATTGGATCATCCCAGTGCGGGCAAAGCTTCTCGCTCCAAGTGTTCAGCTGTCAGGATCCTGGCATCCGTTCTACCCGAGGTGCTTTGAAGGTTCTCCTGCATGTATGCCGTCATTGTGCGAAGCCCGCTAGAAAAGAGCGCTGGACAATCAGCATGCTTCATCTATGCATCAACTTAATAACACGAATAATTACTCCTTGATTGTGCCGAACATCTACAAAGTCGCACTCATTCCCACGGAAGTGCACCACGAACGTTAAATTCATTCATTAGGCTATTCGCTGTCATGTGCAAGGGGTCTGTGCTGAATCATTTCACAAAGGCGGTTCCTGTTTTCCATCCATCTTTGCAGAAACTTCCAAACTTCCACAGCCTCAGCTGCCATGGAATCTCAGGCCATTCTAGACACAGCGAGGATTCCTCCGCCACCAACGCTTCGGACGACGTTCCGCCTACGACGGAGCACGAGCCGCCTGGTCTCAACATCCAGGAGGTGGAGCGGATCTCCACGTACCGTAAAGATAAGCTGCCCCCGTGGACGGGCCTTTGTAGCACCGGGAAGGACGCCCATCTGCTCGGAGGAGAGCTGGACATCGAGCAGATCGAGAAGAATTGACACTGACTCGAAAGTCTTACAAAGGAAGTTATGCACTCATTTTTGGAGGCAGTAGTCTTAAACTGCCCCCCCTGCCCCCAGTATGCAGGGGGTTCCAAATGTGTCTCAGGAGACAAGGCAATCAGGAAGCGTCAACTCTGTGAAAATTATTCGTCTTAACATTTTTGCCGCTAACCCGTCACTGGTACGTTAGCGTTTGGAGAGAATTTGCAGCAGGTTTGTACAGATTCCCAGAAGTGGGCAAGTTGGACGACCCAAAGCACAGAAATGCACACACGGGAAATGACTCAACCCACAAAAGGGAAACGTGGCTTCTCTCCAAGATCGATGCAAGATCCGTTCTGACGCTAATCGCATTAATATTTTACGATGTGTGACGACAAGGTGATGTAAAAACACGAGCGTATTTCTATATGAATAAAAAGTTTCAAATGTGCACTTGTGCGTGTTTTCCTCCCCCTTTTTTCTTTATCTACCGGTAGTTAAAAATACAAATCTATCGGAGCCAAGCTGGGGCCTCTGCGGGAGAGCAACTGAAGTTTTAAAAAGTGATTTTGTATTTAATGCGACGATGCAAACTGACCTAATTAAAGACAAGCCACGGCGCACTTGATGAATCTGTGTTTGTGAAGCCGACCGAACGAACAAGAATGATGTCCGGGGTGATAATTGCGGCTGGAGTGACGGAGCTAAGCTGTGGTTCGCCCCAGAGACCGACGCCCCCCAGCCCACGCGGCCTTCTCTGCAAGGGGCAAACAAAAGGGTCTTTTTCTTGCGAGGAGCCCGGTGACGTGCGAGGCGCTTGTGTTATGTGGGCCATGTGTCAGGCCCGCTTGCTAACCTTGCACCGACCCACCACGCAAGCCCCCAAAAACAACAAAACGCTTCACTCGTAATTCATTCCAGATTTCACATTCTGATCAAAGTGGAACGTGTCAGTCATCATAGAACGATACCGTGATTTACAAGTTCCCCATTGTGTTACAAAACCCACTGGCCATGCACTAAGAGTTAAATTCTTCTTTTAGAACGGAAACCTTGTGCGGCCGCCTGAAACATCCTGCGCCTCGCCGCCCGGCCCTTTAATCAGCCGTGTTGCAGCAAGGGGAAGGAGACCGTGTTCTAATCGGAGATAACGGTGCGAAGGGAGGATGGGGTCAGGGGGCGGGGGGGCTGCAACCACCCCTTAACAATAAAATGGTAGTGAAGTGTTCTTTTTGGGGGGGGGGGGGTGTCACACGCGGTCTTATCGCATGACAGTTGGCCCTACACTCACTCTGACTCAGATCGTGCTCATGTAGTCAAATCTACAAGTCAAACGCTTTGTTGTCGAAGCACGCCGCAAAGTTTTAAGTAAACTATGAGCTGTCGTTAGGTTGGGGAAACGCAGCCTTCAAATAAAATGTCAAATTCTTGGCACAAAAATACAAACGACTTCCACCACGCTCCTATCCAGAACCACATTGTCATAAATCCCTATGGAGGAAATATCGAAGGGGAGCAGCAAGGTGGGGATAACAGTCAGCACATCGGCCCCAGAATTCAGGGTATAGATCTGGGCTCTGGCCTTCCATGTGCGGAGGTTCCATGCTCTCCCCATACTTGCACGCGCTCTCCCGAAGTATCAGAACTCCGGTGCTCGAAGATTACCCATGGACCAGTGCAGGCGTGCTGAGTTTAGTTGACATCCAGGTCAAGGGCAGAGTGCGCACACACACCGCAAATATTTCACACTTGCTACAGCCTAAGGTGCTTCTTTCTAGGATTTATTGCTCTTAGCTACATGTGCGCAATCTAAGGAGGGGCCGGGGAGTCCCCATACAAGAACAAAGATAACGCGGCTTAGTCAAAAGGTATTAAGGGGAGGCGCCGGGATGGAGACGGTCTGACAGACACACTCCAGACTTTGCGCTGTCAGTCATCTTAGCATCGAAAATGAGCTCATCGGCTTAATAGTGAGCTTGTGGAAGGAAAGGGAGAACCATATGGGGTGGGCAGAAGGACAAAAAGAAAAAAAAAATTGCCCATAAATCTGTGAAAAGTCTCATTCCAATTGAATAGCGGCGCGTGAGGCCAAGAGGGAATAAAATACTGGGCCAAATACAGAGTTCAACAACGTATGAGGTGTTTGAAAAGTCAGCGGCTGCGAACACTTTGCGGTCGGCTGCTGCTCGGGTTTACTCCCCAATCAAAGAGAGGAGTGGCACTTTTGTCCTTCAGAGCGTTTCATTACCTTTAATTGCCCAACAACAGTCAAGCTTGTGTCGGTTCATGGTGAAGTGAACCGCGAAGACCTCAATTAATCATTTGTCAATGAGGCTTTTGTTTTTTGTACATTGGAACCTGCAGGGTAGCGGCCATCAAAAAACTGTTTCAGTTTCATTGTGGCTGCCCTGCCCGAGCCCAATCTCTCGCCAGTTTCCGCCTTCTTGTTGAGGCTAAAAGTGAATGCTAACGAGCCGTTCACGTTGCAAGGAGAAGGCGGCCGGCCCGCGGGAGAAGCTCGGCCGTAACGACGATGACGGCGAGACGCTTGGAAAGAACATTCCAGGGGCAATTGGTCACACTCGGGTTCCGTTTGTTGTCTTGGCGTGCTGGCCAGCTTCCCGTTCGCAGATGTGGAGGGGGAAAAAAGTGAATTCCAGGTAGACAACAACAAAGAGCTCTTCACAAATGTCAGAGATTGATGATGACCACGGATCAGTGATGACTTTATTGATCAGAACAAGCCAAAATCCATGATATGGACAAAAGTTTTGAGGCAAGCCTACTTCATGAATCCCTCTGGGGTTGGGCCTAGACTCTGTAGTTCCTTTCACGCCGCAAATTTTTTGTCTTACCGAAACTGTTTGGAGAATGCTTCCAACTTAGTGGAAACAAGCCTTTTTTCTGTGGGTTTGAGCATGATGGGATGGGTTCAAAAGAACTCAAGAGCACCGACTTCAAGGCTGTCAGACGCTGTTTGGCTGAACTCGTATGCAGATTAAGTGGGCCCAAAAAAAGTGAAAGAGAAAAGAAGTTCTCAAGTCTCAATACTTTTTTTTTTCATCCACTGAGTTCGTCCCCCGTTGCAGGATTCCAAACCCAATTGCCCACTTGGTAAGCACGGCACTAAACCAGACTATTGCGAGGCGAGCGTTCATTGATGCTGCCGGTATGACACTGAACTCCACCCGAGGTAAAATGAAACCAACGTCACTCTGGAACGGCAGCATCAGTTTTTAGACTATTGTGTGCACACAAAGCAAGGTGCAGCGTGGAACGAGACGACAGCCGGCAAAAGTGACGGGGTTATGTCAGACGATTCTATGAAAGGACGACTCGTTGGCTTGATTGAGCCCAGTTGTGACACTTTCACACGGAACGAGACAATGACCTACTTTCGGATTGGATTCTTATATGTGGGAGGGGGTGAGGGGGTGGTCGTGTCATTGATCGTTCTACGAAAGCAACAATAAGTTGACTCAATCAAGTCCAATATGGACAGACACACCATACCGGACTGTGATCCGTGATCTGATTTTGGAGGTCCATATCGTGGCGCGTTCCAATACGACGGCAAAAGCTCAGGGCTTCCCCCTGCGGCTGAGGATCATGTCCACAGCCTGGGCCAGGTGGTCGGCCGTCCCATCCGCAGTGACGGTCGGGTGCTGCTGGTCGCTGGGCCTGAGGAGGACCCAAACAAGAACACAGTTGATGACAGGGCGTCGACCGAGAGAGGTTCCGGTGTTAAATAGTTCCCGGGGGATCATGAGCGCTCACGTCAACAAAGTATGCGGATGCCGCCAAGCCTGCGGGAGAGTGCGTGTTTTGGGCTTCTGATCAGTCGGGCTTAAATGCAAAACTGCCTGCAGGCAAGTCGCAAGCAAACCCCGGGGATGATTAAAGCTCTAAAACATGATGATTTATACTATTTTTAGAGTCAAGCCCTTGTTAAAATTGCAGGTGTGTGTGTCTGATACGCCCAGCCCGCTGTTAAAATGTTTAAGGGAGCGCACCCCTGTGTTCTACATGTCACAACAATCAAGTCACCATATTCGTCATACAGTTGGTTTCAAGATTCTTCCAACTCGATTTCCTGTTTATACACCGAACAACAATGTCCCATATTCTTCACATAGAGGGCATCAAGACGGCTAAAGTGACAAAGGAGCCGCAAGCTGCAGCCTTTCTGGCGTCATGAAAATGTTCATACTCGTTTTTTTAGACACACGGGAAAATTCTGGCACATACTGACTGTGTCTTTCATGTACAGTGTAGGACAGTGACACAAATAAGCAGCTATTTAAAAAATGTTTTTCTGGGTATAAAAAAATGAAGTGTAAACATTTCCATACCAACAAAGTTGCAAAATGTCTGTTCATTTGTATCACTGTCCTGCACGTGACCGCGATCTTCCGTATTCTTCACATAACGGGTCGAAAAAAAGCCAGAGCAAAGTAACGCTCGTGTCCTTCATGTGACAATAATGTGAGCCACTAACAATATTTTTGCGTTATTCTTTTGACATCCACACCGCTGTAAAATGGCGGCTTTTGTGTGGGCAAAAAACTCACTTCTGAAACGGAGGCCTCAATATTCACCCGCCTCATCCTGCATCTTGGATCGAGCCACAGGTCGGAGTTCCAGATGGGCTTCGGGCTTTGTCCCCCGGCGCCCTCCCCCCTCCCCATGTGCGTGGCGCGCACACACACACACACACACACACAGCCATTAATCCTGTGCTTCGAGAGCTCGCCAAGGCACCGTGGCAAATATTTGTATGCCGCCAGAAAGGAGGCCGGGCGCGGGATTTTGCAAAGACATGCTATTGAATAGTGAATAGCAGGGGGAAGCCGCTGCCATGTGTTTGCGCACGTCTGTCAGCCCGCCGGGCATTTTGGGTTACGTGAGCTGAGGTGCAAATGGTCCCGCTGCTGCATCTCCCCATGCGGCCTCGACGACGGATTGACTTCACAAAACATGCAAACACACTGAGCCGATCAAAAACAGAGCTGCTCAAATGCCAGTTTTTTTGTGAGGGATAGAAAATTGGTCAGGGAGGGCCCTGCTGCGACATTCAAAGACGCGCAGCAGTTTCTGGCAAGTACAGGCTGGGGCCCGACATGTGACAACAATCTCCATGAATTTCATACAGCGGGTTTTAAGACTTTGTATACGCCACTGTGTTTATCTCCACGTACGTGCAACCATCCTACATCAGACTTTCAGTTGCCACGCATCACGTCGACAGCAACATTCAAGAAGCTGCGGAGATTTCCGTCAAAAACAGGCTGCTCTCCACATGACAAATATCTCAGATTTTCTTCATACGTTTTGTTACACATAATATATCAGGTCATAGGTACACCTTGACAAAAGAACACAATACCCTCCCAAAACTCATGACACAGCCCGTTAAGGTTACCATTTTTTTTTTTTTTACTTCATGAATAATGAAAGAAAGAGGCTCAATGCCAGCATGCAAAATTCAGACACAAAGCAGCTTGTGTTACCCAGTGAGGTAACACGTCCTTCTGTGCAATACGGAAGGGACGGCGGAAAAAGAGATAAGCCCGGCGTCCCTTCGGTGACTTTCACACGGCCGCCAGGTCATTCAACAAAAGGCCGCCCGCCAACTTGAATGACTCGCGCCCACTCACGGCGGTGAATGATCGACCAGAGCGACAGACGACGCGGTGGACGACTTCTCCTTTGCTAGGTGAGTCTCGCTCTCGGAGATCACAGTGACTTTTGTCACTGTCACGTGAGCAACGCCACGTGACGGCAACTGGACGTTCTGACCACAATCTGTTGTGTCACGCAAGTCTTAAATGGGACCTGAAGAAGCCCGTGGCGGGCAGCGGCTGGTGCCAGAAGCTAACCTCGGCGGCGCTTGTCAGACAAGTCATTCTGGGTGCAAGTCTTTTCTGCTGAGAATGCTCACTGCATACTTCACGGTCATTGTCAGCGGACATTCTTCTTCTATTACCGTGGTTTCCTCATTGCCACTTAACAAGGCAAAACAGAATCAATGCTGGCTAAATTTAGGTACAGTTGACTTAGCGGTAAAAACTGTTTGCTCGCCAAACTTCACTCAAACTGCACTTGTGCTCAAACATTTAAAGCAACACATCTGCCTTGTCCATTTTTTTTTTAACCTCTGTCACATCCATAATCAACGAGGCAAACACTGCATCCTCAGAGGACCCTGTTGTCAGCATTTTTCAGGACAGGCAAAGCTCGCTGTTAACCGTAGACGTCAGCCAGGTGCAGATAAAAACACCACACAGTGACATGCTAAACAAATTCTCAACGCGCACGCTCGAGGGAGCAGGGGCAATGTGGTTCGTTTGCACCTGCAACCCAATACTTGAAAAATCCCTCAACGCTTTTTCATGCCCGCATGGCCTTATTGCTGCGTGAACGAGATGCATCCAAAAAAAAAAAAAAAAAAGTGGAAATAACGCCGGCCTTCGCCGAGGGGGAATCCCATTTATGAGCTACGAGACAGCAACGCCGAAAAGGAAAACAGTCAAAAGCCTGCCAAAGCTGGATGGAAAAACACTCGAGTCAGTTTGTTGTGGAGAAGCGAAGGTTTTTCGGAGCGCACCAATGAGGGCACGGCTGGCGAGAAAAACACCTCTCTCACCCGCAAGAAAAACGAATCGTGCCCTTCAAAACACCACAGACTTGCGATAACCTTGATGCTCAGCCAAGCCTTGTGGGCAAGTTCTATTTGATACTTCTCCAACAACGCCAACCATTTGCGAGGTGTTTTACATTTTGAGGCAAAAGGGAAGGTAGCTTCTCTGCGACATCAGAAGTTTTTAAGAATTCGTAAAATCCAATCTCCTGCATCGGGCTTCTCAAAAGGTTCAGGATGAGGTAAAGAAAGACAGAACTGTCTTTCCACTTGAACTCTCCTTCCCTTATAGTCATGACACGATGCAGCTGCAAGCTGCAGACTGACTTGGGAGCGCAGCGTTATGGCAGCGCAACGTGACAGATGCCGACTTCAATCTGTGGCCTCCACACGCTCAAGTGAGTTGTCAAGACAACATCGACTGGAGTACAAACGTGAAGCATCTGAAATGGTTTAATAGCTCTCTCCGGTTTGGTGAAAGCCACCTGAGCGCAACACAGGAACCCGGATCCTCAAACTGACAAAATCACGAGGAAAGCTCTTGTGTTCCTTTACGAAACAAAGAGCTCAAGCTGAACAAACAGGACTTTGGGAGAAAGCTTCAGTTTCTCACTCTTGGGTTGCTTCAGTTTTGAAGAGAGGAATTTTTTAACAATATTCTAGGGGTTTACGCAATTTTTATTAATTCAACACACCGCCGCTGAAGCCTTGGCTTTATCTCTTGTATCCACTCTTTTTAATAAAGTTTTCCCTCATCTAAATCCCTATTTAGATAGGAATTAGCAAAGAGTACCTATCCAAACACCAGCCAGATTTCACGGAGGTCAATTGTTGGTCTCGGCGTCCTCCACGGCTGCGTTTTAAGGCCACGGCTTTTGTTTGCTTTGGGAGACACCGTTATCCTTCGAATGCGTCACATGACGTCGGCAGAAAATGTGTGAAAACCGGGAGTTTGACAACGTATAGCAAATTCAACCGCTTGATATGTAACAAATCGTACGATGAGGAAGTGATGAATACAGTCAATACAGAAATTGAGACTTGACTCAGTGCATGCAGACTGGACAAAAAAGCTTTACGGACGTTTCCTTCGCTGCTGACGACTTCCGCAGCTCTCCCCCTTGCGCCAATATCGTAACGCGTAAGAGCGTTTCAGTGCAGCTCGGGGAGTCCCGAGTCACACACAATTAAAAGGGGAAAAAAACTGCAAGAGCAACTCAGGCCCACTTTCCCCCACAGAGAGTGGACTGTCTAATGGTAATTGGAAAGTGGGGAATTACCCCCCCGCCCGTTGAAGCAGCTAAGGGGCTGTTCTTGTGTTTGAGAGGTAGTGTTTCAGTGAGCCATCTGCGGGGCTTTCACTCTTTTCCTTTCTTGGCCAATCCCTCATGAATAGTACACCCGAGGCAGCGTGAAAGGGGTTTCGGATACTACCTGCGATGGTGCAAAATTGCCATTGTGCTTTCCAATTCCATGTCTGTGCCATTCATACACAACAACAGAAAAGGCTCCATTATAAGTCATAACTTCTTCAGTGACGTATCAATTATTGTTTTTCGATATATGAATGATTGTTAATCGCTGTAGAGTGGATAATTATGGCAAAAACAGTGCGATAGACTCACAACATAATCTACTCATGACGAAACAGAGTCGATGCTGTTTTACTGCGTTTGCTAAAATCGCAGAAATCAACCGTAAGAGCTCAGCAGAGCCACGTTTGGTTCACAGTCACGATAAGTTCATGTGTTTGCAATATTTGGAGCATTCTGAGGGACAACAGACTGGCCGAAGTGCTACGCTTGGAATCTGGGCACGAAGAGGAAGCAGGAAAGCCTGCAGCGGGAGTGCAGACGGATCTTTCAAACCGGTAATGTCAGTGGAATATTCAATTTAAAGCATAGGATGCAAATGTGAACAGCAGAGAGAGACCAGCTGGCGGAAAAGAGGGACAAAGCAGCGTTGTTGGGTCTGCCAGCGAGACGAGGCCATCGTTGCCGAAACGGATTGTGTTTACGTTACGCCCATAGCTGCCAATTCCACATCCGAGGGAATAGAGCGGAACAATTTGGATTAGTCTGCACATTCATTAGCATAACTATGACAGTGCAGCCAATATAGTCATTACGCAACACATGTTGTAACATATGTACATTGTTTATGTGATTGAGAAGAAATCTTGAAACGTGATCTGTTAAATGCACCAACGCAAACAGAAACCAAACATGCCCCCCGTCCTTTTTTTTATTTTTTTTTAAACGACCTCCAGATAACTGATAATACACAACTTGGGGAGTGACACCTGATGACACAGATTACTTCCCAAGCCGACAAAAACCAAAGTGTGTTTGTAGTTCACGTGTTCAATTAAGGTCGAAGTGAAAGTACACTTATGCAACAAGAATGCAGATGGAACATATCAATAGAGACAGGCAACAATAATTTTAAGGAGCGACAAGTGCACGTGCAAAGATGGCTAGCTTTTGATTTACTATTAGAAAAAAAAAAAAAAAAAAAACTTACAACCAAGAGTGCCTAGCTAGCCATATTACCCTAGTTCGCTAAGCTCATCTGGCTACGTTTGCTAGCGTTGGCCTTGAACTCAACAGTGTGAAAGGGGTTTCTGATTTTACCAGTTAAGGAGACAAAGTGCCGGGTCAACTTCGTACAAGTGAAAAAGTGCCTCAGTGCCATTTATAAAGAACACGTAAAATGCTTTTTTTTCCCCCTCCTCCGCCCAGGCAGTGTAAAATGGTTTTGAGATGCTGCACGACCAAAACGCTCACGTCGGTTGAGTCTCTCCCAGAGGCAGAGGCGACACAGAATCCAGCCGGACCAGCTCGGAAACACTGGCTTCAGCTCTCACGTGCAGCCAAGCGTGGTCCGGCAGGCGTTATGATTTACACTGTAAACTGTTTTGCAGGCGGCGGCGATGGCGGGTGCTGTGTGAAAATGTTTGTCATGCGCTCTCATCGTGCCAATCTCCAACAGGAATCCGCAGACGGTTTCTGCTTAAATTGCAGGCCCCCCTCCCCCGCCACCCTTTTGTTTGTGTAGGTGTTCCTAATAAAGTGACCTGCTAGTCATAAGTGTCTTATGGGAGATCTGGCCTCACTTGCCAATTCATTCAAAATGGCATTATGTCACGCTCATCGCCACTCATAAATCTCCAAGCTAATGATCATACTGAACGTGTTTCAGGCGTTTAATGGCCCCGTTGGAGGTTGTAATTCCTGGCGTGGTTCAGATCAACTACATTTCCCTCCATTTTTATAAATGGATTGTATGTTGAACAAAAAGAGACTTTCATCAAGGAAACAGATTGTCGTCTCAACAGGCATCGTAAGCGTCCACAGTCAGAGTTATTATTCGCTGCAGGAATAATAAGACTAATGGTCATGTGGACGAAAAAAGGTGCAGCCTTGCATGTACAGTACATGTGAAACTGATTAGGGCCTCCGATTTAACACATGCAGTTGTGCTCTCTCTCGAGCTTTGTCAAACACATTCAAGTCAATCGAAGAAACGAGTTCCTTATGGAACAAATCCTTCAGATCAAACAAGGTAATCCCGTCAAGTTTGTCTCATTAAAAGGTGTCGGAACGCCCACAGTATGGAGAGAAAGTTATTAAAAGGCGTAGGCACTCGGCCATTTGAACAAGGACTGGAATATTTCTAATCAGGGTATTCAATTAATTTGATAGTACAAGGTGATGCTTGTCATGAATATGGACTTTTTTTGACAGCAGATTGTTATTTGTCGTGCTATTTGTATTGTACAAGTCAGCGGTTATGATGAATAAATCATCTACGGAGTGCTCAGTGATATAATAGATCATGTCCTGACTAATCCACACAGCCGCGACAAGAAGCGTCGGTGATTTGTCTTTTTTGCTGGCCTGGGCTTGGCTGGGCTATTTCAGGCGCTCTCTTTTTCCTTCCAAGCCTGATGGGAAGCAGAGGTTTGCGCGTCATCTGCTCCCCACTCGAGCCACAAAAGCATTTTTATTTTTATTTTTTTAAATAATCATCCACACATCTGTAGTTGCACTGCAACTAAGGCACCCGAGCAGCCTTGTACCATAAATATGTTGAGATTCAGTTGTGCGGAGAGGTATTTTTGGAGACGTCTCAATAAAACGTACAAATCTTTGTTTGACCCAAAGAAGGAAACTCAAGAGAATAAACAACTGGTACTTGGCGCCCTCTGTTGACAAAAGGAGGTATTTCTCCCCAGAGAGCTGGTCTTTTACATTTTGTCGCAATAGAACGGCTACCAGAGTTGTTTGTGATGAATAATCATCAGTGTTTTTTTTTTTCCGGGTACTATCCTGTAATTCACCAACCTGTATTTTCCCGTTCGGACTTGCACGCCTTTCATTCCGACTTGCTGGGCGCCGCCAACGTCGTTCACCAGATCGTCACCTATCATCATCACCTACCGGTGCAATACAAATATATTGTTGTAAAAAAAACAAAAAACAAAACAAGACGGTCCCTCAATGAGCAGAAATAACTTGTAGAGATGAAGGACATCACATGAGAGACAAGATTCAAATTATATGCGCGGTCATGAGTATTTTGCGTGTCTGCTTCGACCCACCTCGTGCGGCTGGAGCGCCATGTCGTTGAGGACGCTCAGGAAGAACGTAGCGGACGGCTTCCCGATGACCTCGGCCTCCACGTCACAGGCGTACTAGATTAAATCAAACAGGTGTGAAACCTTTTTTTTTTCTTTGCAATTGCGCTTTTTCCATCCATTTTTTAAATGTACTGTGGTGCCTCGAAATGACGAGTTTTCGTATTTTTTTTTAAGTCACAAAGCTCTCAATCGTATGCACTTTATAAAAACAAAGAATGTTAAGAAATAAAAAGTTTGGGTATGACGATGACAAGCAATCCCATCTAGTGTGGTAGCCGCTCTACCTCCAGAGCCTTCATGTAAACTCCCACATCCAGCTTCAACCCATCTGTCTCCTTGTAGTACTTTCTGTGGCGAGAGAGAGTAGGGTTAACTACTGTATGATACGATGAAACAAAGAGAGACAATCACATAGTCAATCATGCTGGACTTTTCTACAGACATGGTGCCCATTTAAATGTCGCAAAAGCTATGATTTATGCACATGGTGGAAACCAGCAGTACTATCATCCCGAGGACAGGTCAACGATTACCCTTTGCCGAGAGAGAACAGGGTCGGCTTCTCCAGGCCGATCAGAACTCTAAACGCCTCATTCATGTTGGCGTAGGAGAACTTTTCAGCAGCGTCGCCGATCACCACGCAATTGGGATTGCTCTTGTCTACGCCGTCAAACTCGGGCATGAGCGCTGTTGGGAGAGAGAATATGTAATATGTATTTATATGAGTCTGGTTAAAATAAAACATTGAGAACTACAGTGGAAAAACTCAATTGTGATCACTTAACTTTTGAGTGCAGCAGTGAGACAACAAATATATTTCATCTCTCTGGAGATGATGACAGTACCTCAGGTGATGCCAAAAATTTGGGAAAACCCACATTTTTTAAAAACAAGTAACTACAAGCAATAACAACTGACATATACATCCAAGATATGAATCTCCCAGATTCGTTTGCTAATCAGTACAAATGAAGACTCGACTACGTCGTGTATGAACAGACAATACCGTCGTATACCAGCAGATGGGGCCGCAGCCCCCTTTCCCTCAGCACAGCAACGGCTGCGGGTGCAGGAGAGAAGACCTCACTGATACAAATGTCAAATCCCAATCTTTGAAGTTTGGCCACAAACTTCTCTCTCACTGCTTGCGTCTCGTTGGTGCAGAATCTCAGCTTCAGGTCGGAAGCTTTGAGCCTTCGCAAACACACAAAAAGTCAGCGAGAGTATTCAGTGAAGAGATGCAAACACAACCGGCTTCAAATCAAATGTGTGTGTTTTCTGCAGTGCCGCTCAACACTCACCTCCTCACGGCCTCGACAGAGCCGGGAATGGCCACCCCGTCGCCCTCCCCGCTGTCATACAAGACTCCACACATGTCCAGTATGACACCTTTTAAACTGGTAGCGCAGCTGGTCCAACCGGTGTCCGCCATGACGAGACGGCTCTCTTTTGCGCATGCGCGAGAGGAGCATCAATCAATTCCTTACAGTCGCGCTGGAACAGTGTTTCTAAATAACTAGTTTTTCCGTTTTGTTCATATTTTAGTTAAATTCTAATTTAAAAAAAATACAGTAATGAAAATACTTTTAAAAGGGACAATACGAGCCTAACTGGTGGTTTCGCAATCACGGCGACTGTTACAACATGGGGGCGTTTCCTGTGACGTCGCGTTTAGTATATTTCCACGCTTGACAAGGGCTCGCACACCGAAATCCGACCTGCTCTAACGCCGAACGTCGGATAAAACCCAAGCCCCACAGACACACGGCACGTCCCAAGACGGTCCTGAACTACATTTCACCTTGTTCTGGTACTTGTGCTTTGTTCTCCATCTGTCTTAATGTGCGTCTTCCGTTACACTTGACAGCTAAAGTTAGCTTAGCTACCGGGGTAATATAATAATATGATCATGGATGAGATATTGACTGAAATAGATATTACATAACATAAATTAACCAATTGGCAACAGATATTTTTTTAAAGCAGAATGCTTAGTTAGACGCATGCATCAAGTGGGAGCGCGTGTTTGGAGGCTGCTCCCTTGCAGCCTATCATCTATCAGGGGCTGGTTAAACTGTCCAGCACTGCCAAAAAGGTCAGGACGATTATCTACTGCAGTGTTTAGAGTTTAATTACGTGAGGGTCATTTGGGAGCCAAAGGAAAATCCAGCCGAGGGACCTCCACATCAATAGCATGCTGTAAATGCGCTTCCTAAAGGGTAAGACGTTTGTTGTGCTTTGAAAATGTGAAATATAAACCAGGGATTTTAGTGTAAGGCGGCACAGATCAGTCACACATTACAACAGAGAGAGGACTGCCATTTAGTCACAAATCTGTCATAACTCCGTGCTTACCAGGACAACCTTATGACAGAAAAAAAAAATGCAGAGAAATCATACCATCCACAGTCACTATTGCACAAAACAAAATGCACACACCAACCTTGTCTAACGCCCTCAAAATACAAGCAAGAACAAATTTAAGAGAAACTGAGCGGAGCTGAATTTACTCAGTTTTCTTTGCCGTTTGTTTGCTTTTGTGGTTGGCTGATTTGCAAGCTACCATCATATCAGGAGGATCAACTGTCAGCAACGGCTAATGTCGGTTTGCATGTTTAATCTGGTTTAAGTAATATGAAGAGGAAAAAGATACAATTACAATCGATTCCTCATATGCTTGACAACACAATTTATAAATCCAACTTGATTTAAATTGCAAAAGAATTGTGAGCAGGAATGATAAATTTATGCATTATTTGGGTACATTTAAATAGTTTGATTTAATAAATCCCTAACTCTGGACGGTTAGATAAATAAGGATTTTTTTGGACAACTTTCACTGGGTGGTGGAAGGTAACGCACACTGTAAAATTATGTCCTGAACAAACAGCAACAGAACAAACACGCATTGTTGAACAATGTAATAAGGACATCCATACACAAACTGCTGATGACAACTCACATCCTGAGTCACGCCACACATGAGCCAGTTGACATCCTGTCAAGTCTACAAGGCTTTACAGGATCAGGATTTTGGGGGCCGATAGCCCAACACGTGTAAACAATAAAATAAAATCAGTTGCCATGTTTGTGGTGGGTTTGTTTCCCATAAAAGTCTTTGCGCAGTGGCGATTCAAAACTCAAGCTCCTGACCACCATATGTAGGATTTGCCTTTAAAAAAACAAAACTGTTTTGCTCCAGGTTTCTTTGACAACGTGCCAGCAAGTTTCTCACTTTATATTGCTACTTTTTCTGAATCAAGTCTGCACATGCACACTAATAAGATGAAATATTCCATTGCATGAGGAGGGGGTTGGGGGGGAGGGGGCTCTCCAAATGCCCATGACCGATGAAGTGTTTTGTAATAATTGCTTGATATCAAATTTTGACGAGTTTGTCAAAGAGCCAGCGGCATCATGGTTTTGACACTTGTTCTGTATTGTCAGCTGTCTGAAAGGGGACTCGCTGTTATTCAGCAGACCCGAGTGAGCACACCGGCGGTGTTTTCACAAAGCCAGGGATGAGCTTATTCCCTTTCAATAGCGGCCCCGAGCTTTTGTCATGTGTCTTGTTTCCAGTTTGACTGGGAAGCAGGCTAACGGATTCGCACAGGGAACTGGATCAGCCAGTTACTGTTGAATATCCACATAAGCCGCGACTGTGTCTGCCTTTTCTCCCTGAAGACGCAACCACACCAGGATGAAGTCAATGATTTTCCAGTTGGGTCGCAGCCTGAGGAGCTCGGCGCCGCTAGGCGGCCTCCGTGGCGTCTACTCGGCGGCGCGTCCCGGCGTCACACGCAAGCTGGAACAGCCGCTCACCTCCGAGGAGATTTACGCCCGCGAGGAGAAGTACGGCGCGCACAACTACCATCCCCTGCCTGTGGCGCTGCAGCGGGGCGAGGGTGAGCTAACATTGCGCCCCCAAAAAAACTTACGGCATGTTACAAAGTCTTTTTGGACACAAAAACTAGAGAGCGGGTCTTAACTTACCCATTTAAATCATTTTATTTATTTCCAATAAAAATAAGATTTCCAACTTGAATTGATTTTTCCCTCACTGACTCTCTTGTCATTGGCATATGATAAGAAAGGATGTTATGTGGAAGGCAATTAGGCAATTAACCGTGCTCATCTATACATTATTTTTAAGGTGCTGAAGGTCATAGAATTATTCAGCGCTTTTATAATTTTCGTAAGCAGTGCTCTTTGCAGGGAGACGCTTTGAACAACAAAAGCCGCAGAACACAAAAATCTGCAGTGAGCTGAAAAACGGAATCTTTTCTATCATCAGGAATCTTTGTTTGGGACGTTGAAGGCAGCCGCTACTTTGACTTCCTGAGCGCCTACAGCGCCGTGAATCAGGGCCACTGCCACCCCAAGATCATTGCAGCCCTCACCGCCCAAGCCTCCATGCTCACGCTGACCTCCCGAGCTTTCTACAATGACGTGCTGGGCGCCTACGAGGAGTACGTCACCACCATGTTTGGCTACGACAAGGTCTTACCCATGAACACCGGTAAGGGAAAAAAATGCGAGTGTACGTTGGGGGTGGCGGGGCGACTGAGAAATGCTGATGCCAGTCTTTGTTGAAGGTGTGGAAGGCGGCGAGACGGCCTGCAAGCTGGCTCGGAAGTGGGCCTACAATGTGAAGGGCGTCCCCAAGAACAAAGCCAAGATTGTTTTTGCCGGTGAGTGAAAGATACCGAGAGTACCGTTACTCCAGACCAAATAAGCCTGAAGCAAAGAGTTTTTAAAAGACCAAGAATGAGAAGATGACACCCACAACTCATATGCATAGCTTGGATTGTTATCCTTTAAGTCACTTTTCGATGGTCGCCAACTCGATATGACCTAGTTGGAACGGATTGCTCGGCACATTCACGCACCGGCCGCCGATGGCCACAACTCACGCCGAGTCGCTCATCGCTTGACAAGAAAAATATTCTCTGTTCCATCTTTCTGTGCCAGATGGAAACTTCTGGGGCCGCACCCTGGCAGCCATCTCCAGCTCCACTGACCCCAGCAGCTACGAAGGCTTTGGCCCTTTCATGCCCGGATTTGAGCTCGTTCCCTTCAACGACATTCCCGCACTTGAGGTTTGGTTTTGGATTCTAGCAGACAAAATAAGAGAGGGAGCTGAGGTTTGACTGTGTTGTTTTTGTCCCTGGGATTCCCCACCCGATCATAACTGCAACTGCTCACTTTTTCTGTGAAAAGAGAAAGGAGGCTTGGTCATGTTTTGTTCTGTCACATCTGTCGCAGAAAGCCCTGCAAGACCCGCACGTCGCCGCCTTCATGGTGGAGCCCATCCAGGGCGAGGCGGGCGTGCTGGTGCCCGACGACGGCTACCTGACCCAGGTCCGGGAGCTGTGCACACGGCACAACGTGAGTTGTTGTTTCGACTTTCCTCATTGCTGTGAGGATTGGTCATTCCAAATAGCGTCGTCAAACAAAGTTGCAGTTGGTTATTGAAATAATTCTGCAACGCTACTTACAAAAAAGACAGAGGGAAGCATGAATTAGTTGTGTGGAAAAATGTCTTTCCAGGTGTTGTGGATCGCCGACGAGGTGCAGACAGGTTTGGCGCGTACCGGGCGGCGTCTGGCCGTGGATCATGAGCAAGCACGTCCGGATATTGTCATTCTGGGAAAAGCGCTTTCGGGAGGTGTTTACCCTGTAAGCGTTTTATTTACTTGATAACCAAAGCCAAATTTGTATTCATTATTTTTGCTGCGCAACGTGTAACGGTTGCATTCGCGTCAGGTCTCTGCCGTGCTGTGCGATGATGAGATCATGCTGACCATCAAGCCCGGGGAGCACGGGTCCACGTACGGCGGGAACCCCGTCGCCTGTCGGGTGGCCATCGCTGCCCTCGAGGTCAGAGTTCAAGTTCATTCAAGACCCGCAACATTTATTTGCATGGTCTCCAATATTTTTTCAATGAAGAACTTGAAGCGATTCAAAAAGCTCACTGAACTCTGTAGTCAAACAATATATGACTGACATTTGCTGGTCCTGAATTGCTTTAATTCAAAAATGTTATTTGTCATTATTTTTCTCAGCAATGATACTTTATTTGGATTAAAGTTTTAGTTCCATTGCCATTACTTGTAATACACAACGCTTCCCGCAGGTATTGGAGGAGGAGAAGCTGGCAGAGAACGCCGAGCGGATGGGACAGCTGCTGCGCTCGGAGCTAAGGAAGCTGCCGTCCGACATTGTGACCGCGGTGCGGGGCAAGGGCCTACTCAACGCCGTCGTCATCAAACAAACCAAAGGTTAGCCGCGCCATTTGGCCACGTTTGTAACAAGAGGGACGCTGACGATCCGCGTGCCACCCCGCTCAGAATACGACGCGTGGAAGGTGTGCCTGCGCCTCCGCGATCACGGCCTGCTGGCGAAGCCCACCCACGGCGACATCATCCGCCTGGCCCCGCCCCTTACCATCAACGAGTCTCAGCTGAGAGAGTGCATCGACATCATCCACAGAACTGTCGCGGCGCTCTAGAAAGTCCAACTAGCAGTCATGTGGCTTTGCTTTTGTTTTTGGTGAGTCGCCCCCCCCCCAGTATTAACCGTACAGGCCATCTGAGCTTAAAGTAAAATCCCCACGCAATTGTCGCCCTGCCACTACAAAAGTTTATACTGTGCTCTGGTTGGCTAAAGATCCCACAAGATAGTGTCCAAGGGCTACTACTTTTGTTCAAAATGAAACTTCTCCAAGCACTTTATCCCCAAAATATGAATGACGCGTTGTGCATGTCGACCAGCAAACATGCAGGGATAAATAAACCCGATTCGAGGACTCAAGAAGGCATTTGCAGATTGATACTGACACCTGCTGATGTTTCATTGCTTAAGTTGCGATAAAAGTAAGAGAAAAATTAAAAAGTAAAACCACTAAGACTTTGACGACAACCGAGAGAGAACATTTTTGCACAATGATAATGTCACCTAGTGGTGTTGAAGACCTGCTGTTCTAATTCATTGTTTAAAATAAAATTGAAAAATATTATTTTACTACTTTTCCTTCAAAGATGGAAACGGCAGCATGAACCTGAAAGTTTTTTGTTGGACTATGAAGGTGTGCTAGGGGTGCACACAGAAGCATGTCAAGGAGCAGAATTTAAAACTTGTTTTTCTTGAATAGTCATTTCATTCTGGTGGATGGCACTTTTAAGTGAGCAGAACGAGGGTTGCATCTTATTTTCTTTTCCAAGGCCAGGCTTTTGTTACGTGCAAGAAAAAAAAATGCAATAAATTCTTGCAGCCATTCACGGTGTGGAGTGAGTTGTGTAATGTCGCCAAAACGAAACGAAATTACAATAAAGTTTGGAAATTCTGTCATGACCAACACTACCACTAGGTGGTGTGGTGACCTCACTGGACACACGTAAGGCAACGTGGGAACCAACTGTTGCAGTCAGTACATTAGAAGAGTGTGGAGAACGTAATTTGTTGCACTGGTAAATAATCACATTTTAAAAATATTTCATGTTATGAACATTAAAAAATGAATACACTTTGTCGTAACATTCAGATTTATGACAGTCTCCATTTTTATTCATTTAAGTAAATTAAAAAAATTGGGTGGGCTAAGATGATCTGTCGTCTTTTTCGGAAAGGGAGGCCTGCAGAAGAGGACGACAAAAGGGCCCAGTGTCTTCAATCAGACAGCACAGGACAGCTCATTATTCCGTATGGCAGCCAGCCGAGCGAGGCCTCCGAGTTTGCTTGTGAAATATGAGAGGAATCCGAGGTTGGCAGCAGCGAGCAGGCTTTTAGCGTCAGGTGACACAAATAACGCGAGCGAGGCCCCTCGAGGCTCGGAGGATGCGTCCCTCTCGGGCCGTCGCAGCGCCCTTTTCCGACAATGAGCTTCGCTTTTGGCAGGTAGGGTGACAGGTTGGGCAACGTTGAGGACCGCAAACTTTGCCTGCGTCGAAGGCGTGCGCCATTTGAGCAAAGGGATTGGCACAAATCTCTTTATTAAACAAGTGGGTGGAGGGGAACTATTTCCCCCCAAAATAGCTCAACTGAGACTGAATGGGGAAAAAATGAAACACTTTATTCTGCTCACATTCCGTTTGAGTTTTTGTCCCAATTTTACTGTCGCAACTGCTCTGCAAGTGCGTCTGCTCAAGTTCAAGAGTCTCATCCCGAAGGAAATCACGTCATTGGTTATTCCGCCCCCCTCCCTGATAAACGCTCGCTTCTTGACAAACTGGCCCAATGCGGAAGAGGACATCCCTTAAAATTGAATTCATCAAAACATTTTATGACGTGGGATCAAATTAGACAAACTCCACGTCCACGGAAATGGAATACCGAGTCATACATTTTTCCCCACCTGCAACCGATAAATTACACAAACGTCACTTTTGTATTAAGTTCACGACGTCCAAGTGGACTGATAAATGGCACATCATCTTGAAATAGGATTGCGCGCGGACTATTTTTCCCATTTGAGTTGCCAGTAGGGAATAGCTCCACTTTAAATGGATGAGGCCCGGCATGGCCATTAGGAGGTCACGTCTCCTCCTGGGAAAACTTTCCATTAGCACGTTTGACACTATGCGCCCAGGTTTGACGACAAGCGTGGGTTTGGTGCGCAGTGAAAAGAAATGTACCTCACACCCTGACAATTGAGTTGAAATAACATCAAGTTGACATTTTTCAGAACATTCTAAAAAGATTACAACTTTATTCTCGAAAGATGCTGAAACACAAAAATTCCTTCGCTCAAATAGGATTATATCAATCAGAAAGCCACGTTTAGACTCGTCGGGGTGCACTGAACATTGTGTCAAGAAAACGTTTGACTTGACTTGCCCTTTAATCATTGTCGGTTGACATGTCAAGCTACAGCCACGAAAAACAAATCCTGTCGTTTCCAGCGTTCCAGCTGGTGCACCACACCTCCTAATATAACTTTTTGGGCGGGGCCTCCCGTTCTACTTCCCCATCGGTCAGTTACAAGCGACAGACTCGCGAGGCTCTCATGCGGCCGAGCGAGAACGCCAAGACTGCCGCGAAATCCGAAACATTTCACCATTAAAACGTGCCCGGGGATATTTGGGGAAGCCGAAAGCCGCAGACAGGCGGGCAGATCCTGAGCCAGAAGCGTCATGAACACAGATCACGCTCACAGCTGGAGATGGGGGAAGAAGAGGAAGGTCAAAGGCAAGAAGGAACTGTCAGCTTCCACTATGAGTGTCGAAAGAAAGGAAAAAAAATCATCCCGCAGGAAACCGATGCCTAAAAATAGCGGTGATGATTGTGGGAGGAAAAGGGATGGTTTTGAGGCTGGAAGGTGAGACGGGCAAAGCCGCGCTTTGGGCTCGCTGCCACCAAAGCTCTCAAGTGTCCGAAAAGATAAATCCCCATCATCGTCGTCGTCATCATCGACTTTGAAGGTGGATGGTGTCGACAGCGCTTGTCCTGCCCCAAAGTTCAGCTGCAACTCCGTGTAGACTTGATAAGATTTCATCGAGGCTGCTGGGCAAATTTTAGTCCTCAAAAGGGGACACGGTCGACTTTTAAAAACAGGCAAAATGGGCTTGAAGTCATTTGTGAATCCGCAAATAATTGGCACGCCTTGGAAGTGTCATGAAAAGAAACAAACCGGGGATCCAACAAAACAAACAAAACTCGTCCATGCTTTCCCAATGCGTTCGCGCTCTTCTATTAAGTGTCACCTCCATTCGCCTCCTAGTGACTTTTTTTTCCCTACTCATTGTAATTACTTGTACTACTAATGGAGGTGCATCTGTATGCATGGGACAGCACCGGCGGCACGATGAGTTCAGTGACACCGGCGAAGCCGCCGCCTGCTTGAGCAGTAAGCGCTCAGCTATCAGAGGAGACGGGCGCCTGGCGGACGACACAGTGGCGAGCCACTTTGCCGCTTGCTACCCCGGCGCGCGTGCGACAGAGAGAGAGGCCGTGTGATGTTTCACAATCGAGCTTAGTCGTCCATGCGTAGCAAGCAGCTGGACCTGGCTGGTATTAGTATGCCCCCGCTGTCCCCACAGCCACAGAGCCGACGTTCAAATAGAAGCCCAGCCTGCTTTTTATTTTGCCAGCGTTTTAAGAGCCCAACATGAGGGGGGAAGAGTTATACTAGTACGAGTATTCACTTTTGAGCACTCACCGATACAGAGCACTGATACAAATTAAAAAACAAAAAAAGACTTTTCTTTCTGAAGCAGATGATGATTCACCAATGTGTCATTCTGACGCGGTAAAAACAGCACAGGGAATTAGGGGTTCATCTACTACCAATTTTTTGTTGATTTATAGCTGCAATAGTTGCATTTTAAGCGAAGTCTGCTCTGTTCTCATTTGTTTTAGTTTCCTCAAGCGTCGCTCTTGGTTGCTGCCATCTTTACAGGGGACAATAAAAGAAGAAGAAAAGAAAAAAGCTTCTTTTAACGGCATCTTTTTGTACATATGGGGCAGAACAAACACCAAGTTATGTTTGTTTTTTTTCCATCTCAAAACACAAAACCACACAGAACACACAAGGAAGAGAAGCCGCCACTCCAGTGGAAAAGCCCAAAGCCAACATGGCCGTCTGAGTTGTTCTGATAGTTTCTGACACTTTCGGAAAGAGAAACTTTTCACACGAAGAGAGAAAAGGGCACGCTCTACTGTCATGGAGGGAATGGGCCAACATCCCAGCGCATGTCCAGGTTGGGCCAAAAAGTTGCTCGACGCTTTTTGAATGAACTTACAGGAAGACAGAAACGTGGATGGGTGGAAGGAAAAAAGAAGGAAGCCGGGATGGAAGGAAAGGCGAGGACGGATGGAAATTCCAACAGGGAAGTGAAATATTGCAAGTAAAAAAAGAAAGACACCCCCGTTTTCATCATTTGCTAACCGTCTGTTAGCACGAGCAAAGTCCGAACCGCAGTCACAATGGGCTTTACGCATTGTCGGAAAGCGCACGCGCTATGCGGCGCTCAAGCTTCGGTGAGTAAAACGACTCGGATGTGAGTTCTGGGCCTGTCATAAAGATCATCTACGAAATTGGGGAGTACGTCATGGCAAGAAGAATCCCGCGTTGAATTTGGGAATGAGCAGCCTGGGAAAATGGGAAGATTGAAGCAGCTGTTGCGGCGAGGAGGCAGGCGAGGCAGGTGAGCCAAAGGAATGTTGTCAGGAGGAGAGGAATCACTTCTGGTAACGCCAATATGGGTCGGCATGGACTTTTGGATGTCCAGGGTGGTGAGCTCATGTCCTGCACTAACACTGGTCGCTATTCATCGGGAGGCGGGTACCGATGAATAGCGTCATCATTCAAACCAAAATAAAGTGGACATTTCGGTTGTTATTTTATGCTGTGTGAATATAAGAAAAAGTCTTATTTTTGCAATAACGTAATGGTCTGGGGAAAAAAAAATTAAATTGACAAGAATGTCGTAATGGTATGACAAAAAAGTTGTCACTTTACGAGTATAATACATACTTTTTTTTTTTTTTTTTTACGTGGTAAGAATAACTCACCATTTTGAGCCATTGATAACTCAAATGGGCTAACTCCATTTTTTTGGGCATTTGTTAGACAAGCACTCAGTACTTTTCCCAAATCATCAGTGCAACACTGGGCCAACATTACCTCCGCCACACAGCCAGATACAGTTGTTTATAGTACTGAGAGGCAAAAAAACAAAAAAAATTTGAGTTTGAGAAGATAATCGGGAGCCTCTGTGTGCCTTTGAAAGAGCCCAAGGTAGTCATCTGCACACAGCTGATAAAGACACTCACAGCTCATTAATATTCATGAGGATGCATTACTAATTGTGGATAATCCCATGGGTATTTTTATATCTCTGTTTTTCATCCCACCCATTTTTGGTGATGTTTACGGACGCTTGAATGACGGAAGTCATACGCTGTCACGCTGAACGGGATGCCGCAGCGACTCAACTGATGAAGCAAACGCATGGGGAAAGGGTCAGAATTATAGATGGGAGCAATTATTAGCGATGCAAGTTTTTTTTTTAAAGAGTCCAAATAATAATAACAATAATAATAATCATAATATAAAAATAATTTCTGCAAGTAGCATTCGTACACCTGAGCTGATTATGATGTCGAGCGAATCTCAAACGTACTGCAGCTGCAAAGTAACCCGAGTGTGGTGATTTGTTATCTGCGTTTGCTCGGAGGAGGCTTGTTTTGTTTGGAACAAAATCTCAATTTAGTGTCGAGGAGGCGGCGGCGGCCGGTTTTTTCCCCAGGAGGCGTGGTGTTTATAATGCCGCTGTC